ACACCAATACAGTGATCAGTGCTAAAAAAAAGCACTGACACTATACTAATGGCATTGGGCAGGAAGGGGTTAACATGAGGGGTGATAAAAGGGTCAACTGTGTGCTGGGAGGTTGTGTTGGTGCGGCACTGTAAGCACACTGCTCTGGATGGCTGTGCTGAGCAGTGTTTCTGAGCTGACAAGGAGGAGATCAAAGTAGTAAACAAAGCAACCCTCCTGCCCATCAGAGATCCTCAGTAGTCACCGGACGCCAGTAGGTAATCATCGGCCAGGACCTGGTGATTGACAGCCATGGCCGCGAATGGTGGCGCAGGTAGGTCGTGCGCGGATCTCGCACACGCCCCCTACCTGTAAATACAAAATCAGGTATATATACGTGATTTTGCGCACCCCTGTATTTCTGCTACAGGGTGGCGGGGAAGCGGTTAATGTTGCTAGGGGGAGGTGTCTGTTGTCATTCAGGAAACGCACCTAAAAAGCATGAACATGTGTTTTGCATGCTTTTTTATTTTTTAATGCGGTTCCATTGAAGTCTATGACACACAAAACATAATCTTCCGTGGGGGAAAAAAGTCCCTGACCCTTTCAAAAATCCACACCGGCTCAAAATACACAGATGTGAACTAGATCCATAGGAAATCATATTAACTTCTTCTCGCCGGCTGAACGCGAATGTGCGGCCTCCCGGCGTCTGGGCCTAGATGCCGAGCGGCCATACATTTGCTTTCCACTAATAAAGAACATATGTGCTGAGAGCGCGCACCCTGTGCGCTCCCGGCACACATGTCCAGTACTCACGGAAAGGTCCCGATCTCCTCTTTTGATCGGGACCTTTCCCAACACGACGGTCACATGACTCTAAACCCCGCTCCACCTCCCAGCTTCTGAAACTCTTAAAGGGCTGGAAGGCGCCGGCGTGAAGGGGTTAAAGAGACTGTAGTGCAATTGTGCATACTGGAAAAGTCACTGAAATCCACATAAGTGTGAACCAAGGGTAAAGGTACAGTTAGGCCTGTGAAGTGTTACGTCAGGTGCACACATGATTTTGGTGCATTTTTGAGCTATGAACAGAGGACATCTCTTTCTTTTCAATGGACTGCCCTACATGCGCCAGAAGAGCTCATGCACTTTTCTGAGTGTCATGTTTCATGAGTTTGCATTATCAAGCAAGAAACCTCACATCTGCTTGCTGTGTTTGGGCTGCTATTAACAATAAATGGCACTGCAAGCGCCGCACGTGATTTTTCCTGTTTTATGTACACATGGAAAATTGCATGATTTTGCAAACATTCTCAAAACGCTATTGTGTGTATGCAGCCTTCCCCTTTCATGAACACTAGGCTATTACCCATAGCAAACAATCTGCAATCCTCTTTTGACTTAATGGAACATCATTGGTTGCTGTGGGTTATTACACATTGCCCCTGATTTCTTGGATAAACCGGAATATCGCACATACACTGTGTTCCACATTATTATGCAAATTCTATTTAAGTGTCACAAAGATTAAATATTTTGTTTTTCAGTTTAACTCATGGATGGCATTGTGTGTCAGGGCTCTTTTGATCACTGAAAACAATCTCGGACACCTGTGATAATTAGATTGGCTGGCGAGCCCAATTTAAGGAAAAACTACTAAAGGAGGGTGTTCCACATTATTAAGTAGAGCACCATTTTCAAGCAATATGGGGAAGAAAAAGGATCTCTCTGCTGCTGAAAAGAGTGAAATAGTTCAATGCCTTGGACGAGGTATGAAAACATTAGATATGTCACGAAAACTTAAGCGTGATCATCGCACTATTAAGAGATTTGTTGCTGATTCAGAGCACAGACGGGTTCGTGGAGATAAAGGCACATTGAGGAATATTTCTGCCAGATCCATGCATCGGATCAAGATAGCAGCGGCTAAAATACCATTACATAGCAGCAAACAGATATTTGAAGCTGCTGGTGCCTCTGGAGTCCCACGGACATCAAGGTGTAGAGTCCTCCAGAGTCTTGCAACTGTCCATAAACCTTCTATTTGGCCACCAATAACCAATGCTCACAAGCAGAAACGGCTGCATTGGGCAGAAAAATACATGAAGACTAATTTTCAAACAGTCCTGTTCACTGATGAGTGCCGTGCAACCCTGGATGGTCCAGATGGATGGAGTAGTGGATGGTTGGTGGACGGCCACCCTGTTCCAACAAGGCTGTGATGTCAGCAAGGCGGTGGTGGAGTCATGTTTTGGGCCGGAATCATGGAAACAGAGCTGGTCGGCCCCTTTAGGGGCCCCGAAGGTGTAACGCTGACCTCTGCAAAGTATGTGGAGTTTATGACTGACCACTTTCTTCCCTGGTACAGAAGGAAGAACTATGCTTTCCGTAATAAAATCATCTTCATGCATGACAATGCACCATCTCATGCTGCAAAGAATACCTCTGCATCAATGGCTGTTATGGGATAAAAGGAGAGGAAGTCATGGTGTGGCCTCCATCCTCCCCTGACCTCAATCCTATTGAGAACCTTTGGAGCATCCTCAAGCAAAAGATCTATAAGGGGGGGAGGCAGTTTACATCCAAACAGCAGCCCTGGGAGGCTATTCTGACAAATTCAAGCAGAAACTGTCCAAAAACTCACAAGTTCAATGGATGCAAGACTTGTGAAGCTGCTATCAAATAAGGGGTCCTATGTTAAAATGTAACGTGACCTGTTAAAATGTTGTTAAAAGTTTGATTGAAATAGCTTTTGATTTCAGTAAATATGCTGCAAACACAACAAATGACAATTTTCAGTTCTTTAGAACCTACAAAGTGTTTTGAAACATACTGTGCGTAATAATTTGGAACAGTGCATTGTAAGTTTTTTATGTTTAACAAAAATCTTGTTATCATTAGGAGGTTTGTTCAATAAAATGTGAATTGTACTCTTAATAGTTGATAACGTGAGAATTATTATGCTGACTGTTATTTACATCAATTATTTAGGGAAATGAAAAAAAAATATAATTTGCATAATAATTTGGAACAGGGTGTATGCGGTATTAGAATAATGGGCTTAGGCCCTATGTACACAGGACACTTCTGAACGATGGAAACTGACTGCTGGAAAACGTAGGTTAAAAACCGTCTGTTTAGCCCTGTTTGCATACCGCATTTATGTGCGTTTATGCACATGTATGAGCGTTTGCGTTTAGAAGTGTTTTTTTTAAAGATAACCTCAGGAGACCTTCCAAAATACCCTGAATGCACTGAAAAACAGTAAAAAATTACCTATTTCAGACATTTTGAGAGAAATACAGAGAGCACAAGCAGAGAGAACAGTATTTTTGAGATTAGCTGTCTTTTTTTTGTGGTGTTTGGATGTGTTCCAGCTCATTTCTGTGCAGAAATTATTGCAGCAGTGTCTAATATAATTTTTTTCATGGAAAACCTCAAAGTATGGTGCACCAGGTCCCTTTTTGAGTACCGAGAAAACACTTTGCATGCATTTTTCATGATGAAAAAAGGCTCTGGACAGCATCTGGAAATGGAAGATTTGAAAAAAAAATTCAAACATAAACGCTTAATAACGCTGACAAAATCTACTGCTGAACGCAAGTTTTCTGCGTTACAAAAAAAAAACGACTGTAAACTCAACTGCCTGTAAATGACATAGTGTACATGGACACATAGGAAATCATTAGGGAGAGTTCAGGGGCTGCTGAAAAAAAACGCTGAACAGCTCCTAAACGTGAGTTTAGCTGCAGTGTACATGAGCCCTAGTACAACAAGCAGGAATGTGCTGCAAACCATTATTAGGATATAGTATTTCAAAAGTTTAGAGATGGTAACTAAAACTATACTGTATTTTTCTTACTACTCAACAAGGTTTTTTTTCTGTACTGCTATACTGGTAAAGTGTATGCAAAGGCATTTTTTTTAGTTTTGGATGGAATGAGGAAGTTTAAGAACCACGGTCAGGTATTTTATTGCTGTCTGTGTCCCCACGAGAGATAGCCACCCTTTCTATTCTGTCTCAGTGACCACTGTCACCAAGATAGCAAATAATGGCAATTCCTAATGTATAGAGTTGTCACCAGAACAAGAGGTGGGAAAAATGTGTCATTGGGGACAACTGTATTAAGCTGGCCATATACTGCCAATTCCTGATGAACTGACCAAATTCCCTCAAAGCTGACAGCAGAGCTGGCTGTCAAAATAAAATAGCCACTGGGGAAGATTTGTCCATCCATGCTGTGTAAAAGAGTATGACAAGCATAATTAAATTCCCAGCACTAGATTGCTTACTTCCTGCTGTGTCTCCAAGACAGGAACTTAAAGGAAATCTCCCTAGCAGGTCACAAGCATTCAATAATAAATTCAGAGGTGTTTAACCCCTATCTTCTCTGTCCATAGCTAAAAATTAATATTTTGCCTATACATACTTTTTTCTGCATTCTGGCTATACATAATTTTTTCTGTATTCAGGCTATACATACTTTTTTTCTGCATTCAGGCTATACATACTTTTTTCTGCATTCAGGCTATACATACTTTTTTCTGCATTCAACCACAAGAGCTAGATTCTGTTTTGTTGTTTTGTAGCTGAAACATTTTATCGGTTATATAAAGCATCTAGAAAAAGCAAGGAAGGAAAAACGAATATATAAACTAGTTTAAATGAACAAAGAGGGTAACACACACGTCATAAGCATAAATTACTAACCTCCAGATAAACGTTCACATATTGTATTGATAAACCACACATGTTGAGCTGGAAAATATGTTTTGTGAAATGTAGGCATTTATTTGTGAAGAGGACAATGATACTGAATATCCTGAAGCCCAATGAGCTCCATAAGAACAGACAAGCCCAACTCAGGCAATGTATGGTAACAAATGTAGAGGACTAATGTCTTCAATGATGGCGTGTGGTCCATAAAGGTGTGCTAGACAAGATATAAAACATTTTCTGGAACTTGCAAAAAAAAAATATAAAGTTTTTACGCCTGCAAAAAGGTCCTATACTGTATATGTCACATATTTTTGTTGTTCACATGGTCCTTTTTTGAAGTAAGCATGAGCAATTTGCGGAATGCTTTCCGGAAATCCCGGTTAAAGACAGTGTATATGACAGGATTTAGGCTGCTGTTACAATATCCAATCCAGAAGAAAAAGTTAAAAAGTGCATCAGAAATGCCACATCTGCCTCGACACACAGACTCCAGGCTGTAGGTGAAAAAGAATGGGAACCAGCAGATCACAAACCCACCAATCACCACCGCTAATACAAACGTCAGCCTCTTCTCTCTTAGTTGTGTCAACCGTGTCTGAGAGATAGAGACTGAACGGTCTCTTTTTTGTCCCCGGTTCACAGTCCACGAAAGCCTTTTTGTTTTGGCATTACTGGTCCCATCGCCTATCTTATGGGAAGCTGGCTCTGAGAATTTGTGAATTGATGAAGTGCTCTCCTCTAAGTCCATTTCATCATTATCATGGTGGGCATCGGAGTTAGGATGTCTGCAGCAGTCCTGATGGTAGCATGCATTTGGTGGGACTTCGTCATGAAGCCCATTCCTGAGATTAGACACTGTAGATGCTCGATGTTTTGCCACTCGGTATATACGGCAGTACAGGAATATCATAATGATGCATGGAAGAAAGAAGGATACAGTACATGAAAACAAAACATACCAGGTGTCATCGTTCAGGTCACACTTGTTCTCTTTAAGAGAGTTCATTTTAAGAAGTGGTGGGAAAGAAATGATGGCAGATACCACCCAAATGATTGCAATCATGCTCTTGATCCTCCTAGGTGTCCGCCGTAGGTTGTAACTGACTGCTTTGGTAACAGACCAGTACCGATCAATACTGATGGCACACAAGTGAACTATGGATGAGGTGCAGAATAAAATGTCTAAAGCCAGGTACATGCTGCACCATATATTTCCAAAGTGCCAATAGCCCATGACCTCCTTGGCTAGTGAAAATGGAATAATTAAAGCTCCCACAAGAATGTCTGCTGAAGCCAGGGACACCAGGAACAAGTTCTGCGGAGCCCGCAAAGCCCGGCTGGTAAATATGGCTAAAACCACCAAGATGTTGCCTACAACGGTGGACACGATTATGGCCCCCCTACAGCGATCATAATGAGGGCAAACTCCCATGCTGCATAAGGCCAGACCTTCAGCTCTTGTTGGCTACTGTTCCCGGAATCATTATAGAAGACAATAGAAGCTAAAGTTGTAAACTCCATCTTGGTCACATGGTAAAGTCAGGTGAGCTTGCCAGCTAACTTTATGCCATCGTTCTGTCCAGTTGACCCATTGTGATAATCAGGGGAGGTCAATCAATGTAAAACACCTTCAGCAGTTCTATATACCATTATAGGTTCTACTCACAGACCAGGCAGACTCCAGACCTCCTGAATCCTAGTACATCCAACTCCTGCAACACATTTAGCAGAAATATTTCTTGCATGTAGACAATCCAACCCTTCTGCAGATCTCAGATCTTCGTCATTTGACTTGCCAAGTTGCTGTGTTTTGTTTGTCCTATTTGGCTGCAGAGTAGGTACATTTCCTTGCGTTAGGAGCTACAAGGGAAGCAGCAACATCCTGAAGTTTTTCTATTGCCCAGATCTCTGTGTCTGAGTGCAGCACCTTTCACTGGTAGTCTCCCTTCTCTAGCAGCACACATCTCAGGCAGTGGGATCTGTGTGTACTCTCATCTCCCCTCCACTTCTCACAGGTGACCATGGTATGACAGAACTGCGCTGTGTGTACAGAGCATTCTTCATAGCAGCAGCCTGCACCTCCCCACTCACATGGTGGGAGGGAATCCTACTACCCAGTATAATGAACACTGAAGTGCAGTACAAAGTCAGCACTTCAGTCTGTTGTGTCACTAAGGTCGATGCTGATAGCTTTCAGCACAATGAATAATGTTTTGTTTGCGCTCACATTGGTCCCTATAAACCTCCCTGTCACACACAGCTGTCTTCTTCACTTTCCCTCGTATCTTTATTAATATGTATAGACTTCCTATTCTCTACGGAGGTCCCTATAGAGAGGAATGACCTGTGGGGACTGCAGGGATGGCATTCTTTCAGAAATATGTATATTTCTGGACTATGATTCTGATGAGAATCTTTCCTGCTTCCTGTCATCCAATGCACATGGGTGTCATATAGGGAATAAGAGCTTTTAAACATTTCGAGGACAGGCATTTCCCACGCATGACATGTGCCCTGATCCGCCTCATTGCCATAGGACTGATGGCAGGAGACAGCTGGACAGAAATGTGCCTTTTTTAATTGACACTGCTACATTTGTAGTTTACTTTTACTAGCCATGACAAGTAGCCAGGACTTTTAAGGCACAATTAAGATCACACAGATAATTGTAATAAATTGACCACGGGAGCCCCAGGCCAATTCTAACATTCCTCTCCTACATGTAAAAATCTGCATAATTTTTTTTTTTTTTTTGCTAGAACAGCAAGCAAAAAGGAACGATCAATTGGTGTCAGGAGATTATTAGAATACCAAAAGACATGTGTTGGAGAAATCAGCAAGAGCCAAATTAAAATCAGCAGCAAAATGCACTTTAAGGAAACCTGGAACCTTCAATAGCATATACATTCAAAAAGTGCAGCGGTGAAAATAAAATATCGTATCCAATAGTACTGTTATTATAAATAGTGCAAATAGTTCATAAATTGCAAAGTTCGTATATAAGATGAAATTATATAGCATAAATATATGTAAATATTATGTATATATAAATAAAGGAGGAGCTGTACGCTGTGACGTCACGCCAGAGCCTCACGAAGGTCCGGCGGCCATCTTTGATTTTGACTGCTCAGTGATTACTCTACAGCTCTGCTTTTATGCTCATTTCTCCACGTGGATGACATGTCTTTTCTGCAATAAATTCCATTAATTACTACACTATGGGCACCCTCTTTTTTGGCTCTACATTGAGCTTTTAATTCAGAGAGTCCCCATGTGAAACATAGCTGCAGAGCAGCTCCAGGACCCAGAGGAGGACTCCCTGTCACACACAGCTGTCTTCTTCACTTTCCCTCGCATCTTTATTAATATGTATAGACTTCCTATTCTCTACGGAGGTCCCTATAGAGCTCCAGGACCCAGAGGAGGGAGATCCTTTCCAGGCTGTATACCCATTCCACCTTAAAGGGGACCTCTGGCAGATTACATCATTTATATTATGGCTGCATATTTAAAATGCGCATCTGGTGAGTGTGCATTTTTACCATATTCCTTGCACTTCACCGAATGGAATAAGTATCACATGGAATGTATTTTCACCTGAGCACAGGATCATCACTTAACATCACTAATTGAGGACAGAATATTACTCTCATATGGAATTTTATTTGGTACTCTAATAAGCCCCTGACACCCGTGCAACAATTAATGATTCTTTTTTTGCTTGCAAGTCTTTGCTTGGGGCTGGGTACAGAAGCAATTCCTGGGCACATTTCTATGTTAAAAGTCTCTATTTTTGTGCTAGAAAATTACTTAGAACCCCCCCAAACATTATATATTTTTTAAACAGAGGACCTAAGGAAAAAAATAGTGGGTGTTGCATTTTTTTTATGGCATGTGGTATTTGCGCAGCGTTTTTCCAAAACCAAATTCTTTGGAAAAAATTAGACATGTGCACTCCGTACTTTTTGTTTAGTTTTGGATGCATTCGCTCATTGAAGTATTTTGTTTAATACATACATAATGTTCACCTGATTTGTTTTTGGAATTAGTTTTGTATCTTCGGCGTTTGTTTTGTGTATTTGTTGGTCCAGGTGGATTCAAAAAATGTTGCAGTTTTTCTGAAAGATTGCTATATATTAGATAAATTATCGAATTGGATGGATTAGAATTTTCATCTGAAAAATTAAATGAAATGCAAATGTCTAGAAACAAATACAATTTAAAGCAGAGTTCCACTCACCCTGTCAAAAAATAAAAGTCAGCAGCTACAAAAAAAAACTGTAGCTGCTGACTTTTAAAAAAACAGCCACTTACCTGTCCTTTGGTCCCGCGGTGTGTCCCCCGCAGCCCGTTTCACCGGCCGTCCTGTATTCCATGAGGCCGGCATCTTCAGTGTGGGCACCCGGCTGTAACAGTTTGTGGCTTCACAGCCGAGTATCCACTGCGCATGCGCGAGTAGCGCTGCACTTCATGAATGGTCCTGTAGTCTTCTGGGATCTGTCAAGTGTCCCAAAAGACTACAAGGAGGGAGGACACCTTCCGCTTCCGGTCACCTAGGCGATTGGACCGGAAGTGGGAGTGGATCAAATCCGGGTACCCGCTCCCCCCCGTCCCATAGGGTGCCAATCCTTAATGGGGAGCGGGGGAGCAGTCCTTAAAGCGGAACTTCCCCTTTTGGGTGGAGCTCCACTTTAATGAATTTTAGTACACATAAACACAATATAATACCCAATGTTTAGTAAAATATAAAAGATGATGTTTGGCCTAGTAAATAAATACCAGACATGTCACACTTTAAATTTGCGCATGCCCGTGGAATGGTGACAAACTATGGTACATTAAATTATCCATAGGTTGCGCTTTAACCTCCCTAGCGGTCTGATTATGTCCATATTTCTGTGCTCAAAGCGGTACATTTTTTTGCATGGAAATATGTATTTTTTTTTATTGTAGGCCTGTAATTTTTAGGAATAACTCACTGAAATCTGTCCGAACAAGAGTCTAGTAAACATCCCGGGTATGTTACAATTTGAAACACTAAATTATAAATTATAATTTAATAAATAATCATAAAAAAAAATAATATAATAATAATAAATATAATTCAATAATATAATCAAACCAAAAACACTGAAATTTGAAATTGAGCGCCAAGTTCGCACATCACTGAACAAAGTCGCAAAATCGTTTTCAGTGTCTGATGACGAATTTCCCCACGAATCATTATCATTCAATTCTGCAAGTGATTCTAATTTACTGTCGCTGTTCTCTAGCTGGTCTCTAAAACCGCTTTTGACCTAAAGCGACACTTTTTGGACACCATGGACGTTTCTCAGTTTCCAGGCAGAAAGAACAGTAAAAATGCAGGCAGGGCACAGGACAAAGCACTCGGGACAAAATGTATGTGAAATGGTTTGATACAGTAATGTTATACTATGTGATTTTAGAGATTTTAGTGAATGTCACTTTTTGACATTTTGCAAATTTCCCGCCTGTTCCATCCCCCGTACGTCCCGACGCTTGCAGGGGACGGAACCCAGATGACAGATGCCGGCATGCACCGGAGTACATTACAGGGGACACTGCAGGAGGGACATCGCAGGAGCGCAGGACAAGGTAAGTGATCGAGGGATCCCGGAGCAGCGCCGCATAGTAAACACGAGTGTAGCTCGGGGTTACCGCTTGTGGTACTGAAACCTTAGCCCGAGCTACACTCGGGAATACCGCCAGGGGGGTTAAAAAGCCTTTACAGGTTACCACTTTAGATTTACACAGGAGGTCTGGTGCTAGAATTATTGCTCTTGCTCTGACGTTCGCAGTGATATTTCACATATGTAGTGTGGTTACTGTTTACATATGCATGCAGGTCCAACGTGTGCATTGGCCTTTGCGCATGGGGAGAGGGGTGCTTTAAAAAATTTTTTTTTTAATACTATACCTTTATATTGTTTTTAGCACTTTTATTGTTATCACAAGAGATGAACAACGTCCTTTGTGATAGGTCCTCTTTATGGAGAGATTTTGGTCTGTGAGACTCCAGATTTCTTCCCTGGCCTCCAAACCAGCACATAAAACTGAGATCCATTTAATCTTCTGCTACGCAAGCCAGCAATAGCTTGTATACAAAGGAACCGAAACCAAAAGTGACAAAATCCTCACCGCTTCTGGGTTCTGATGTCACACAGTGGAAGGAGCAAGATCAGTTCATCTCACTGTGTTCGGGGAAGCTGAATCTGCCAGTGGCATCCTTACCATTCTTCCTGATTGCTCAGGAGAGTCCAGTTTAAAGGAGGCAGCGGGGGCCCTTCTGGCGCCTGTAAAAGTAATCCAGCAGCTCGGATTACTTTTACCGACTTCAGAACAGCTGGCTCTTAACCAGTTCCCTACTGCGCTATAGCCGAAGGATGGCTACAGTGCGGTTGTCTGGTTCTGGGATGACGTTCATGGACGTCATTCCAGAACATGCCCCCTGTGCGCCCCCAGCAGCGATCACCAGAGCCGCCAGTGATCGCTGTGTCCTATGGACACAGCTGATCATGGGATACAGTAAATGGCCAACCACGGCAGCCTTTTACCACGTGATCAGCTGTGTCCAATGACACAGATCACCAGGTAAATACAATTGTCGGTTATTGGCTGCACCTTCCTCACACTGTCACAGTGCAAGGAAAGTACTGCCAATAACCAGCAATTGTCAGAGAAGTGATTGGCACTGATCATCAGGGCATTGATGATCAGTGCCCAGCAGTGCCGCTGGGCACTACAGTGCCGCCCACCTGTGCCACCCACATGTGCTCAGCAGTGCCGCCCACCTGTACCCATCAGTGCCGCCAACCTGTATCCATCAGTGTCACCCACCTGTGCCCTGCAGTGCCGCCCAGCTGTGCCACCCATCTGTGCCTAGCAGTGTCACCTACCTGTACCTAGCAGTGCCACCCACCTGTGCCCATCAGTGCCACCCACCTGTGCCCAGCAGTGCCACCCATCAGTGCTGCCCATCAGTGCCACCCATCAGTGCCGCCTATCAGTGCAGCATCATCAGTGCCAGCTCAACAGTGCTGCGTATCAATGCCGCCTCATCAGTGCCCATCAGAGCTGCCTATCAGTGCCCATCAGTGCTGCCTATCAGTGAAGCCTCATCATCGCATATCAGTGAAGGAGAAAAATTACCTGTTTGCAAAATGTTATAATAGAAACAAAGAAAAACTTTGAAAGCTCTATTTGTGTGAAAAAAATTATAACATTTTCATATGGGTACAGTGTTGCATGACTGCGCAATTGTCATTAAAAGTGCAACAGCACTGAAAGCTGAAAATTGGCCTGGGCAGGAAGGGGGTATAAGTGCCCTGTAGGCAAGTGGTTAAAAATGTATATCTTCAATGCAGCTGCAGCGATGACTGAGATATCACCATTGCAATCCAACGACATGCTGGTACATTGCTGGTTGGCAAGTAGTTAAAAAAATGCTTTATGGAATAAACATATGGTATAATTTCATATATCCCCATATACAGGTGTGCTATTATCACCACTGTTCCCTTTTATTGAAATATTAAGATCTTCCCATAGAAACACAGTAAATATCCTATGCTATCCATCATCCATATTATACATTTTATTTTGAATCTGCTCAGTTCTGAAGAAGCAGATTTGACCTTGAAACACGTTGATAGAGGGTTTTAAGCAATTTGACATACAAAAATGTTGGAGTTATGGTTTAATGTCTGTATGTTTTACACTGTATAATATACATCCATGAATGCTGTTTGTAGAGGTATTGCTGATATGGATTTTACTCTATGTATATGGTGACTTCGGAAGGCAGTTGGTTGCAATAGATTTTAGTTAGGGGAATCAGAGAAAAGGGGGCTGAATACAAATGCACACCACACTTTTCAGATATTTATTTGTAAACAAAAATTGAAAACCATTTATCATTTTCCTTCCACTTCACAGTTATGTTCCACTTTGTGTTAATCTATCACATAAAATCCCAATAAAATACATTTACGTTTTTGGTTGTAACATGACAAAATGTGGAAAATTTCAAGGGGTATGAATACTTTCTCAAGGCACTGTATGTCTGCTGACCTTTGCCTAAAGTTACTAAGAGTGCTAACTGTTTTTATTTACATGCCTATAATTTTGTGCTGCTTTACTATGCTCATACTTGACTGTAATATAAACAAAGCATCAGGTAACTCTAACCAGTGTGTAAGTCTATTTTCTGGTAATATTGAGTGAGTTTACTCTGACCAGAAGTGCACGGTGGTGTCAGCAGGGGTGAGGCTTTCAGAGTGGGGTGAAGAGTGACAGGGAGCCCGAAAATAACTCAGTGACAATTAACCACTTCAAGTCTGGACACTTTCACCCCCTTCCAATCCAGGCCAATTTTCAGCTTTCAGCGCTATCACACTTTGAATGACAATTGCGCGGTCATGCAACACTGTACCCATATGAATTTTTTTAGCATTTTTTGAGACAGATAAAACTTTATTTTGGTGGTATTTATTCACCACTGTGATTTTTATTTTTTTGCTATATAAATGAAAAAGCCCAAACATTTTGATAAAAAGTGTTTTTCTTATACAATTTTGCAAATAAATAACCTTCCTTCATAAATGTTGGCCAAAATGTATTCAGCTATCTTTTTAGTAAAAAAAATAAAAATAACCCAAATTAGTTTATAACCAAAAAATTTTTAATTTTAATTTTTTTTTTTATATTATTATTTATGTTTTTTTTTTAACATACTGTCACCCTAGCAGTAAAGTGTCACCATAGTGACACTGTACTACTTGTGGGGGGTGTGATGAAGATTTTTTATTTTTTTACGCTGATTGCTTTTACACCCATAAAGCCTGTAAAAGCAATCATTTTTCCTTCTCTCTGGCTGCATTCTTGCAGCCACTGAGAAATACTGTGAGAGCTGTGATTGGTCACAGCTTGTCGCATGGTACAAGGCTGTTGTGAATAGCCTTGTACCTTGTGACCTCTGTGATCATTCACAGATTTCACTAGTAGTAAGCAATGATGTCAGAAGTGACATCTTGCTTACTACTATTCATGTGACCACTATTGGCCAATCAGTGATCACATGATCGGGACCTCACACAGAGGTCCCGTACAGCGATCGGTGTTCCGCTGTGTCCTCTGGACACAGCAGGCACCAGATTGCGGTGCGAGCGCTCCCAGGGAGCGCGCACAAGCAGGGAATGTGGGAGGATGTTTATAAACAGCCACCCGCTCCTGCACTGCTCCCGTACGGCCATTTATGTACATGGGCCGGATGGGAAGTGGTAGCGCTACATAGGAAAATGTCCCAGGAGTTTTTTTTCTTTAGTCTTAGTCTTAGTAAGGGCTAATAACATTTATTCTTAAAATTACTGCCCCTTCTTCTCATATTTCTCCTGCGTACCCTGCATAAAAAGTGCAATGTGAATACATTTTTGAATCCTGTTTGGTTTGGTCACGTGATCTGGCAGCTCTAGCTCCCCTGTGTAAGGGAGCACTCAACAACGGATGTGAATTCCAAGAGCCATGACATTCTATGTAGCTGTACACTGCCTGAGCAATGTGAGACTGCAGATAGACTACAACCTGGCTGGCTGAGACTGGGCTGAGGATTGCTGCAAATTGGAATGAGAATCTTGTAATCAGAGTGGCTTGGTGACTGGGCTGTTGAGTAGGCAGGTTGGTGAACATCCTGGGGGCCCATGTGGTACAGTGTTACCGGCTGCAGGAGTGTAGCAGGTGTGTAGCCATCATATACAGCTTGCATGCACAGCCTGTCTGTCTGTGACCATGACAAGGAAGAAAGAGGAGAAAGCGCCAGCACACACTTACACCAGGGTCCAATAGCACAAGCTAAGTCACTGGTGGGATCTTCTCTGGCAAAGAAACGTTTAGAACAACATACAGAGCCTAGAGGGATAAATACAGGGGCTGTGGCAGCAATGGTGAACTCCTCAGAAGTAGATGGAGTGACGGAGGAAGAACCTTCCCTGAGAGAAGTCTTGTCCAGTCAATAACTGTAAGTCCTCCTTGAGATGTCAGACCAGCTCAAGAGTATTAACCGCTTCCCCTCCGCCCTATAGCAGAAGTACTGCTACAGGGCAGCAGGGCTGCGCAAAATCATGTATATATACGTTATTTTCATTTCCGGGTAGGGGGCACGTGCGCATCCCTACATGTGCTGCCATTGGCGGCTACAGATGTCAATCACCGGGTCCCGACTGTAGATTCCCCGCCGGCACCCGGCGATCGCCAAGTAACACTGACAGGGGAGAGGCCTGTATGTAAACAACACACAAATCACTCTCCTGCCAGCAATAACATGCTGCTGTGTATTTCTCTGCACAGCAAAGAAATACACATCAGCATGTTTCCCTAGTAAAACACACACAGCACATCATGTAAAACAGCACACAGTTAACCCTTTGATCTCCCCAGATGTAAACCACTTCCTGCCCAGTGTCATTAGTACAGAGTCAGTACTTTTTATTAGCACTGACTGAACACTGTATTAGTGTCATTGAGATGTCAGTGGCAGTTAGTCAGTTCACACCCAATGTCAGAATACTCACCGCAGTCCCGCAGTCCTGCTATAAGTCGCTGATCACTACCATTATTGGTATAAAAAAAAATTAAAATTCCAGTATATATAACGCCATTTGTAGACACTCTAACTTTCCCGTAAACCAATTAATTTACACGTATTGGGATTTTTTTTAACAAAGACATGTAGCAGAATACAATTTGGCCTAAATTTATGACAAAATTAGATTTTTTAATTTTTTTTTACTGGATATGTTTTATAGCAAAAAGTCTAAAATATTGTTTTTTTTTCAGAATTGTCGGGCTTTTTTTGTTTATAGCGCAAAAAATAAAAAACACAGGTGATCAAATACCACCGAAATAAAGCTCTATTTGTGAGGAAAAAAGAACATAAATTTAATTTATGTAGAGCGTTGCATGACTGCGCAATTGTCAGTTAAAATAATGCAGAGCCGCATCGCAAAAAATGGCTCGGTCAGGAAGGGGGGGGGGGGTAAATCCTTCAGAGGGCAAGTGGTTAAAGAAGATGTATCTTTCCTTAGACATAACTTGCAAAAGGTGTGGGAACTCACAACAGCATTGGAGGGCAGGAGTAGCATTGTGGAAGATGATTTGAACCTGATGAAACAGGAGACGAAAGCAATTTGAGAAAAAGTAAATATATATGCATTCAAGGTGGAAGATTTGGAGAACAGGCTGAGCAGGAACAATATGTGAATTTTGGGCTTTCCTGAACAAAGTGAGAGCTCCAATATTATTGAATTTTTTTAGAAAGATGGCTGGTAGACACTTTTGGGAGAGACTCCTTTACAAGTCTGTTTGTCATAGACTCTCCATAGATCACCCTAAATCTCTACTTATTACAATGTTACACTATAAGGACAAGGTGACTACATTGTAGAAAGCCAGGGAAATGAAGTAAATATTATATACTGGAGCCAGAATCTCCCTGTACCCAGGTTTCTTTCCAGAGTCGCACAAGAAAGGGTCCAAGTTTGTGGAGGTTAAATGCAGGTTGCAGCAGATAAACGTGTTATATGCTATGTTATGTAGCGCCACCCACATAAGGGCTGCTTGTACGTTTTCCCAGGTCTCCCCCTTTCTTCACCCCACAGCCAGGCAGAAGGTATTTTCATTAGCTAGGTACACACACACACTTTCACCCGTTGTCTTCAATGACCAGTCTAGGGGATGTTTGTTTTTGAAGTTTTATTGTAGAACTGAGGATAGGGATGGAGAATGTAGAAGGATACTCCAAAATTAGAACCATTCACACTGAAGACATTTAGTTGATCGCTTAGTTGAGCACTTTTTGAAGCTTGGCTGAAGCAGAGAGCAGATGTCCTGCTAATTTGTAGCAGCAAGTAGTTTAGGAGTGTGCAAAGTCCCTTTTTGAAGTAGTATTAATTACACGGCTGAGCTCCTCAGATATAAACCAGTTACGTCAGACTGCGACAGCCCAAAGGTAACAGTTGGCAGTAGGACAAGCTCTTCAGAACACTAGTCAGTGTTCCCTTTCCTTTTCCGACCCATGCTGACCATCAAGCACCAGGGGGGTAGCAAAGCACACAGAGTCCTCAAATTCCTCAATGTCTGTACTCATAAGACCCAAGGACAGAATGGTTGCCTCCTTCCGATCTTGCAAGCAAAACCATCCAGTTATAGCAGACAGAGCTTTGGCAGACAGCTTCCCTCAGTCAGCTTACTGTAGAACCAGGGTCACGCTCTAAATTCAGGCCCTCAGTGTGACCCATCTGAGACCGCATGACAGCCATTGCCAGGTGAGGCAAGTCTGCTTCCAGCCTGGCTTGGTTCAATCCTCTCCCAGGAAAGATTCTGAATCCATGTGCTCGCAGAACATAACTAGCACTCCCAGCATGCAATGGGACTGCCCTCCCTTGCCATTGGCCAGGGCTGTATCCATATTCATGCTGCTCAATTGCCTAGTTCCCTTCCAGGATCTGGAAGGCTCTCAAAGCTTCCTGAAGGCGGACAGAACTCTAGGCAAATTCAGCAGCACCAGAGCATCATGAGCAGACCTGACTAATCCATCACAGCACTTTGTTAAGCGGACAGCCCAACTAGATTTTCCTAACAGTCTCTCTGTTAAGCAGAGAAACACAGCTATGCTTAACCTAACTATACAAGGAGGGTGCTACAGTTATAACCTTCACGGTTATGGGTTGCAGCCTGTGGAGAACCCCACTTTTTTGGTGCTCCAGCAGAAGCGGTGGCATGGTTGGAGAAAAATGAGCAAAGGCTTTGGACAGAAAGGGACTAAATTTCTATCTTAAATATGCATATATCAGGAGGGTGGTACAGTTGATTGAATAACCCTTTTTTTGTTTCTGTTTCAAAGCGGGAGTAGTGAATATAAGGTGGTAGGGAGAATAAGGTGTTTGTTCTCTCTTTTTGGATGGTGTAGATTTGAACCAACAACCCTAGTAAAGCCAGACAGATGATCTAACCACTTATGCACTGTGTTGCCCAGTATGCACTATTGTTCAGTATCTGTTTGTAGATACTGCTGTCAATTTCACTTGTTACATATTTGTGGTGGATATTGTTCACACTAAGCGCAGAGTTTACACGGGTTTATTTAACAGGTATTCATGCTGATCTTTTTTACACAGGGCATACAGAATAGATTGGTGGAGTAGGAAAGCAATATTTTCAAGAATAATTAGTAATTATTATTTTTATTATTATTATACGGGATTTATATAGCACTAACAGTTTGCGCAGCACTTTACAAAATAAGGGTAGACATTACAGTTACAATACAATTTGGTACAAGAGAATACAGAGGGCCCTGCTTATTAGAGCTTACAATCTAGGAGGAAGGGTTGAGTGATACAAAATGTAATAGCTGTGGGGGGATGAGCTGATGCAGGAAATAAATGTCGGTTTACTAGGTAGAAGCAGGATAGGCTTCTTTAAAGAGAAAGGTTTTCAGGGATCGTCTAAAGGTGGATAGATTAGGAGACAGCCGGACAGATTAGGATAGGGAGTTCCATAGGATGGGAGAAGCTTAGGAGAAATCATGGGGGCGAGCATGGGAGGAGGTGACACCGGAACTAGAGAGTAGAAGGTTTTGGATCCTCCACTTTAAAGGATACATTCACCTTTTGTAACATGTTACACCCACATTCAGTATGTAACATGTTGCACATGTACCAGCCGCCGCTTTCCCCCGATCCCCAGTTTTTATAGTTAGTGGGGGGTCTCCCCCCCCCGATGTCTGTCACAATCTCTGCCTACCCGGCCACGTCATTCATCGACAGTATTCTGTGAATTGGAAAACTGCAAGTTCTGACAGCCTTTGTGGCTTTCAGCTTGTAGATCTCAATGAACTACCAGAAGGCTGTGGAGCTCTCTAGGTAATTCATTGAGCTTCCTGTCATTGTGTAACTACCTGCTCATATCAGAGGAATGGGCAGACAGCTACACAAACAATCTCCAGGACCATGGCATTACACCCACGATTCGTCGATCATGAGTACATTGCTTTACAAGCTCCTAAGATAAAATAATGAATGTATATTTTCTTACCTGGAAAAATGTGCATTTATTATTTTTTTGGTAAAGGTGAACTTATCCTTTAAAGGTTGCACATAAAATGGAGAGATCATATATACAGTATATGATATATAATCAAGACAACCCAGAAACACCTATTCATTATCATGTATAAAAACATAATCCTTTCTTATTGGACCTTATTTGGATCCTGCTGGGATCCCAAGGGTAAGTACTGGGGGTCCAAGGGTAAGTACAGTAACTCATAGTGGGCTCAGTTCACTAAAGGATATCGCATGTGGTATTTGGGTCAACTGACACATTTTTCCCAAATATCGAATGTGATGCTGAAAATGTCAATTCACTATGCAGTATTTAATTCAAAATGCAAAAAAACTAGTAAAAACTAGTAAATACCACATAAAATAGTATTAAAGTCAAATCAGTAAAGGAAATCAATTTAAAAATGCATGCGGTAAGTAGTGGTCCAGGCATGCATTAAAGAATGTATTTCATTTTAGCTGATTGTCAAGGAGCCGCCAATGTTCTTAGCAAGAAATTAATAACTGGTTGTTAACCACTTTCATACCGGGCACTTTTACCCCCTTCCTGCCCAGGCCAATTTTCAGGTTTCAGCGTTCTCACACTTTGAATGACAATTGCGCGGTCATGCAACACTGTACCCAAAATAAAATGTTATCATTTTGTTCACACAACTAGAGCTTTCCTTTGGTGGTATAATCACCACTGGAGTTTTTATTTTTTGCTAAATAAACAAAAAAAGACAGAAATGTTTGAAAAAAAACCCACGTTTTTCTTTGTTTCTGTTATAAAAGTTTGCTGAAGTACTGACAGCCAATCTAAACAAAAATGTCAGAACAGTACAGATATTCCCCAAATGACCCCTTATGTCATAAGAAGCATGGCGAGTTTTTTGAAGTTGTAATTTTTTGTGTCATAATTTTTTCGAAAAATGAAAAAATTAAAAACATTATTTTCACAATTTTATTTTACATACTGTCACTAGTGCAGTACAGCATTATCATATAACTGGTGTGGCTGTGATCAGGGACACTGACAGGCGACAGTACGAAAAAAATAATTGATATTTCTGTTTCAATTTTTCTTTTTTTGTTAAATTTTTTCTCTTTTTTTAAGATTTTTTTTCATATTACACTATGACCAAAGTAGTATAATGTTACCATAGTAACATTGTACTACTTTTGTGAAGTGATCAGTATTTTTCTTACACAATTTGATTGCTTATAGCAA